CAATTAAACTTTAAAAAAATTAATTTGTGACAAGCACAGGGATAAAAAAAATCTGTTTTCCAACTCACCCTTTCGATCATGACATTTTCTATAACAGGCACTCCTGATTTGTAGCAAATTTTATTTAGATCCCATGACCTGTAAAAAGAAAATATATATATATATTTACAATAAATCCAAAACTCTTATTCCGTGATATTACTTGAGAGAGGACGCTACTCACTTTCCAAAGAGTGACACGTGGACCTTGCTGGCAGAGAGAGCAGCTTCCAAGTGAACCAGCAAAGCCTCCTGGGTGAGAATATTGGTGCCCTCTTCTTTGGGGGTCTGGATGAGCATCTGTGAGGTAAACACTGACTCCTCTCCTTGCTTCTCTCTGGTGTAACGGAGCTCCGTCGTCACTCGACTGCCAGCTAAGAAGAAAAACACAAAAAGGCCAGAACGGGCTCAAATTTAAATTCCAGTTGACAGACAGAGGAAATGACAGTGCTTTAATCTACCTAAACACACACTGGGATCACACAAAAAGACTCTTATGAACATACTGTACATTATAGGCATACAGTTCCACAAGAACACACACATATATCGACCAACGCCCTTGGCCTTCACCAGTGTTGGTTTTGAAGGCACTTCACACGAGCCAGCATCTGGCCAAGAGAAATGAGTAATACAGCTTCTCATTGGCTCATTCTGTGAACCAGATGTGCCCTTAAAAAAACACTCTCCTGATGCCCTGAAAACCCCTCTAGTGTTCTGCCCAGGGAAACAGATACGTATAGGCAAAAACATGGAAAAGAGACGAGAAAAGAAGAGGAGAGGAGAGTAAAAAAGTACATACGAGGATGAAAATATCTGACTGTCAGAAGTGCTGAAAGAAAGACAAATGACAAATCTCAGAATGGGAACTATGTTGTGCTGTGTTGTAGACTGCAGCCCCCTAATTACAGAAGGTTGCCCTGAAAAGGGTTTGCCAGCCGGGGGGATCTGTGCCTGTGCCAAGTGTACATGAAACATGCCGCGCTGGATCACAGAGGACCCGTCTGCCCCTCTTGCTGCCCCTCTACATGACAACCCCAGCAAGAGAAAAAAGAGAGGCAGGGAGTGAGGTTATTTGGAAACAAAGCCTACCTCCTTCTTAATTCTACCTCTCGTCACTCTTTTACTCGCTTTCATTGTGCCGTAACCCAACCTGGCTCCGTCTCTTTATAGTATCTACTCCTTTGCTATTTCCACTATGACTGTCTACAGCTCCCGTCTCTGTCCCTCTTTCTTTCTCTTTCCCGTCACGCTCCCTGCACCTCCCCCAGCCTGGAGCTGGCTCCTTTAATTGATGGGGAGAAAAGTAAAAACAAACTATTCAGCCTGCACGCCTTAAAAGTGTGAGATCAAGTTAGAACCCTGGGCCTCGAAGACACACTCCAATATTACCGAGGCTTCACTTTCAAGGCTTTAATTACGAACACAGGAGCTTGGGAATATTAGGTCACGTTGTTTATTTGCAGTTGTTGACCTCTTTTTTTGGAATCCGAGAAGAAGAAAAAACACCCAAAATTAGATGTCTTCTTGTTGCGTGTTTCTGGTTCATCTGGTCTGAAAATAATTAAAACGTTAACGCAGGAAGTGTTTATGGAGCCCTTATTGTAGGACAGTAACAACAACGACAGTGTAGTAAACACTGGCTTGACGTCAGAACAATCGGGTTTTCACAACTCCGCAGCTTTCTTATCAATAACAGTTACTACAAAATGGAATGCTTTCCGTTCTTAGACCTCTTTGACATCTGTTAAACCTTTTTTGACATTTCGTATGTTAACCTCGGCAGCATGGGGTTTTGATCCCAACAGGAACTGGGTGGCTCGGAGAGACTCTGGCTCTGTAATTACAGGCCTCCTGAAGTAAATTATAGCTATTTGTGTCTCGTTCCTCCCATCTGGACCACCCAGGCAGCCAGTCCTCTTCTCTCTTCTCTCTTCTCTCTGCCTCTTTCTCGCCTTCTCTCCTCAACCCCCAGTCCGGCCCTAACCACCCAACTTTAGGCGTCGCAACCACTCTGATCATTTAAGCTGCTCTCAGCTCAACAGTCTCTAGGAGGAATCTCCTATTCAACTTTTTTCTTCCTATTTCCTCGTTCCCTTTCTCCTTTTCCTCCTTTTTTTCTTATTTTCAACTTTTTTTTTCTTTTTGTCACTGTGTTTCACCACCCCACCCCCCCACTCACTCCCGACACTCTGGGCTCCACACAGCCTTAAAGAGACAGTTCCCGGAAATTTTCCCACCCTTGGAAGAAAGCGCCTTTGAGTGTGCAGCTTTAACACCCGGCGGCTGGTAATTTTATTACATGAGCAATTTTGAAACATGAAATATTCCATGTCTGGCAACATGATCAAAAAATGGAAAAAATAAATTACATCTTGCTGAAATGACAGCTACAGTTTTTCCCCCCAGAAGTTTTTGAGAAACCAAACCACTGTCTTACAGTTTTTAGCAAACAACAAGACTCTGTTGAACAGTTGTGTTCTACCTGTGCCACTGAAAGCACATTAAAAAAATGTTACAACACAGAAAATGTGAAAAGCAAGCAAAAATGTCATAAGAAGCCTGGACACAGTTTCATGGCTGTGCGTGTATAAATATAATATTGGCATGCATGTGTATGTGTTCGCCGGGGCAAACACTGGACCCTGTCTCCGTTAACAGTCATTTCCTACACACCTGACCCTTTTCATTACCAGAGGCCAGACCGCCAGAATACTAAAATAAAGAGAAATATGTGCGGTTTCTCACACCTGGAGCTAAGGTTACAGCCAGAACCACTGTAAAACACAACATTTCTATTCTATTCTATTCTATTCTATTCTATTCTATTTCACTACTACATCTTGTTAGGTTACAAGCGCTAGTCCCAGTTCCAGGACAGACCAAGCCACCTTCTTGGTTCAGTGTGGTAGATTAGCTGGATTAGGGGCCCTCTGAAAGGCCCCATGCTGTTGGAGAGGAAGACCCAAGAAGAAGATGGCTTTAAGTGACATGTATGCTGCTACCTGCTCAACAGTGCTTTGAAAATGAGCCTAACACAGGTAATGTTAGGAAGAATGTTTAAGTTAGCTACACGCAATCACTTCCCTTTTAAATTCAGTCCCAGCACGACAACACCCGACTCTAACCAGACCCACCAGAATCAGGAGTGTGCCCCACTTTTGGATCCTCATCCTCCTGCACACTCCTATGGCATCCCCGACCAGCACCCCCAGCAGATGGACTGCCCCCCCCCACCACCACCACCATACAATCGTTCAGTGTAGCAGCTACTGACTGAACGCAGACTCTTTTGTCAACTTCTTTTACATGTTTCCCAACAAACAGCAGAATCAAATAAAGGGAAGGTTTTTTTTTCTAAACAACGAAAGCAAATAGACCCAAAGTTTCCCAGCCTGTAAAACAATGCCAGAGCTGGCTGTGGGAGGGAAAGGCCGGGAGAACTGATGACAAGCTGGCACTTGGCTATCTCACCTATAGAAATGCAATGTTTCTGTGTGTGGGTTCAGAGGTTAACGGGGGCATATGCACACTGTATCGAGTTCATTAATCCTTAATGACACCGTAAATGCCTAAAAACAAATCTTAATACAGCTTTGAACTCAACTGCAGAAAGCCACCAACCTGATATCAAACCTAAAAATAAATAGTATGAAAAACAGTGAAAAACAACATCAAAATCAGTTGCATTTACATTCTATTCAGATGTGCCAGTGGTGTTAGCCACCACACATAAATTTACACCAGGGTTGGCATTTAGGCACTTTCTATTTCCATATGTATAGGCTTGCCTCTGCTAATTATGCTAATCATGGGCAGTGTTGGCCACTGTGAAAAATAGTCACATTAGACACTCCACTGACCGCTAATACTGCTTAATGTGTGGTTGAAACATACATTCATCCCCGCCTGAAAGGCAAAATTTTTCCACGTTGCTGGTCTCATTCACACCAGAAATGAATTTATTGAGCCCAAGAACCATTTCTTTTTCTTCCACCTCCCAAGTACCAAGAAAATGTTCAGTTTCTCTCTCTCTCTCTTCTTTTTTTTTTTTTACTTTTTTATACTTTCACGGTGTGAAGACAGAAGCAAATGGTCCAAACTCTAAGGTGACTGGTGTCGCTTTATTTCACATGGACCAAAGACAAAGGTCGCTCTTCAGTGTGGAGAAAAAGAACTGCCACACTATATTGATGGAGTTTTATCCCGCTTTCGACTGCGCTGCTTTCAGCATATCGCATTCAGCAACTCTTGCAAAGAGTGCAGACAAGCGTTCTTTTCTTAGACGCTGGCACTGGAACAACTGTACGTTCACATTGTAAATGTGGCTCGGTGGACGCCCAGGCCATATGTTGAAATTTTGTTTTTATTTTACAACAGAGAGAACAGTCTGCACATTTCCAGTGTCTTGGAAGTGGAGCCCATGTGTCTGTCATTTGCACATGTATCTATAGCAGCTCAATGTGTGTTTATTTATTGGGGGGTGGTCCCAATCTGACTGTTGAAGAGTGTTTGTTAGTGGGGGGGCAGAAGGCGGGGGGGTGCCGAGAAAGAGATGGAATGGACTGAGGGGTGGAGGTGGGGTAGGGGTAAAGAGGGTGGGGGTGAAATAAACATTTAGAAGTGACCCAGGTTGACTCTGGTCTTGTTTGTTCTCTCTACCAGTGAGGTCCTGGGCCCTGAGCGCGGGGAGTTTATTTATCTAGCTGGAGGCACCACCGCGCACTATTCACCTCCAATAATGCCTCATAGAGCACCCTTTCTGTGTCTGAACTGGGACGCTGTGTGCACTCTGATGAATTATGGCATTTACCTGCTGCGCCGCTCGGAGGGTTGTTTGGAGAAACTGCTCCAAACATTGAAATACCCACGTGTGCGTTCGCTCATTTACGCAAACTCTGAAGGCGTTTTCTTTTTTTTTTTTTTTTCGTCAGGTTGCTCTCCTCCAGTGATGAATCTCCACATCTGTATCAGCTAAACATGTAGTTCCACTCTATAACAGCTTTACAGGACCACAGGTGTGAATGGTAACCCCCTCTCTCCTGTTCTCCTACTGGTGCATTTGGAAAGGAGCTTCCCCTTCTCCTGCACTGGTGTTTGGACAGCTTGAGTCTGTGTACACGTCTGTCACACCTCACCCAAACTCCAGCAAGAAGGATGAGCTTAGTTGGAGTAAACACCACCGCTCTGACATGGAGGTCATTTATTTCCTCTTTTTTTTTTCTCAAGCTGAAATTGGTCTTTGTTTTGGAGGAAACACTGATCGATTTGTGCTACAGCGTCTCCCAGGGGCCGTTATGATGACACAGCTCACATTTGAGGTGTGTTAAAGTGAGACGGCCAAAAACAAGCAACAAAGTGTCAGCTAGCCATAAACCCTTTTCCTGCTCCAACCCCCAACACCTCGGTGCATCCTCCTTCCACTCTACTTCTTTTTCCTGCCCTTCTTTTTTTTACAACCTTTCTCCCTTTTCTGTGGACACAACAGACTGAGTCACACCTAGCTCAGCTCACACCATCTTTTACACTCTCAGAGGGGGGCAGAGTAAACAAGCATAAACATTTACAGCAGTGAACAAAAATTCAGGAAAGAACACTTTCCAATGACAAAAAGATAAGCTGAAGTTATGTGGGTGAGTATCCCACTCTATCTGCGATATTCTGTAAAAACTTGAAAAGACAATCTGGTGTAATTTAAGACAGTTTGATGGCTGAAGTCTGTCTGAGGTGACTGTGCAGTAAGCCAAAAATGAACCTTAATCCCCCTGACAGACTAAACACCCTGATACCCTGGCTTCTATTCACACCTATGCAGGTGTGAGCTCTCAATAGTGCATTTAACCCTTTTAACATTTTAGTTTTAAATCCTTGTGTAAAACAGACGAGTGTTTAGACAATTGTTCTTAAAGAAGGGAATAAAGAAGAATAAATAAATGCATATCAGTCACTATAAGAACGTGAATGCAGTTTTTGTCACACTATCCCTGACCCTCAGTGCAATTAAACTGCAATTAAAAAACATGCTGTTAGCTTGACACACACACAAACACGGGGTATGGTCGGTAAGACAAACGACTGGGCAAACTGAGCACGCCAAAGGTGTCAAAAATGACAAGTGTATGTGTGAATACCGTGGAGACAGCTGAAAATGATAAATATACGATCTGGGGCACATGCTCTTTATATATACACACAACACAAACACACAGGGAAACCACACACTGTCAGAGCGTTAACACATAGGGTGTCAATTCACAGCTAGCTTATGATGAATAAACTGGGATACAGGTGGAAAAACTTAGACAGAAGGATCTCATTTCCTCATTTAACTTGCTTCCTCGTCTGAATTGTGCAGTGTTCGGGGTGATATGGCTCGGTACTTGTGTGTGCGCTGTTCTCTATGTGGGAGAGTGAGTGAAGGACAGAAGGGGAGAGAGAGAGAGAGGGAGAAAGAGGGAGAGCTAACCTCTCCTTGTTACTGAACCACTTTACTCTCCATTGAGGCCCTCGCAGCTTTGTCAATGGGCTATTGGTGGAAACAAGGCAGGCAGAAACTTTAGAAACACGGCCACAGCCTCTTAAAGAGACAGCAATTCTTTTCAGCTCCACGGGTTGGACTCGCTCACAATCCAACGGCAAAACAACTGGCACACAAACATCTAAACATCTCCTTTAAAAGACGACTACGCCAATTAGCTCGAGAGGCAATCCTGATCCTTTACACCGACTAGAGTGAAGCCAAACAAAAAACAGCCTGGACAAAGTGGAAACACTTGTTCTGTAATAAAATACGGGGATTTATTTTTTTTTATTATTCAAAACTGAGGTTATTAATTTCATTGACACCATAATTCGAGGTTGCGCTCTCAATTCTGCCTTTCAGTGGAACATTTGAAAGTCTTGGTGCGTGGCCTGCTAACACATGAACAGTGTCTGGTTGCTCCAAAGCCTCCGCTCCTCTGCTCCTGGGGGAGCTGCCTGTGCTCTGTCCTCCAGTGACATGGTGGGCTTTAAAACCCTATAGAGTCTGTTTATATTCACCAACTGCTGCGGCGCTTTTAGAGTGTGCAAAACAGGTGGGTAAACTTCAGCTGCATGCACTTATATTTTCTCTTCTTGTGAGGACAAGGAGAAGGGAGGAGGAGGAGAAAGAGGGTGGGAGGGGGCAGGGAGGGGGGGCTCTGAGGAGGTGGTGCCTGCTTGCTTGCCTGCCTGCTTGCCTCTTGTTGAATGGAATCCAAGAATTGTTAGGGACCACACAGGGAGCTGAGGGGGGAGGGGTCAGAGCCCTCAAAGATGGCTAACCATTCACACAGTCCATCTGCTGCGGGGATCAGCCCCAGCACTGAAAGCCTGGGGGTTTAAAAGGAATTTGGCCAGTGTGAAAAACCAAATAAAGCTGCTCCTGCTTCTGAAAATGCACAGATAACTCAGACTGAGAAATGTGCCGTTGTAGGGAAGTGAAAGACGGTCACAAACACGGCGCTCCTCGTAAAGAAAACACTAGATATTTTGTGTCTGTCTGACACAGGAATGTGGCTGACAGAGAAGTGTTTGGGTTTCTGGGAAGAGCTGTGACTTATTAAGAAACGAACAGACATGAGCAAACGATAGGGAGTTAAAAGGTGAATGAAGAAGTCAAGGACTGACTTGGCTTTCAGCTGTGTTTTTTTGTGACTTTACCCTCAAATCAGCCACAAATTGAGAATAAAAACAATAACAAACTCCCCCCCAGAATCTCAACCTCTGTTACCGTGCTAATTGTGATCTCAGCCTGACAAGCACTCCCCCGGTGAACACCTAGTGCCCACCCATGGCACTGCGATGACGCTAACATCGTCCAACATTTCTAACCTACAACTAGTGTGATTAAAACTCCAAGTAAATTAATCAAAACAAATCTAGTTCTGAGCCAACGAATAACCTCACACAGAGATGTTTTTGCTCCCTCCAGGGTAAAAACTGTCTCATAATAAAACACTGATGAAACCACTAATAACCCCCGTGTTGCTGCTTCAGACAAACCTCTCAAACGTGCCTTGTCAAAACAACGATCATTGAAACTCACCTTCCACCCACAGCTTTTCGATGTCGGTTTCGATGGCGGCGACTCGGAGTCCCACAGACAGAGCCCCAAATACTAAGAGTCCAATAAAGAGAACCTTTCCACAGTGTCTCTGGATGTGGCAGCCCAGCGTGAACATGAGGGCCTGGAACCTCGCTCGGATCCAGAGAGGAGCTTTTTGACCTACCGCCTTACCCTGTATGTGAGGAAAGGTGATAAAAGGACATTATAATTATCATCATCATTATTTTCTATAATGGCTGTCAAATTATACATCTAATCAATAGCTTCCATTCAAAACACAAAATGCTTTTTCAAATTACAAACATTTTCACTGATTACTGTCTAACCACATAATTTACTGACACGTTTTCAACGTTCTGTATATGAAGCCAGATATTTTGCACCTGAATCCACCACTGATTTAGCAAAGTATCAGCCATGACACCTCATATGTCACATTATTCAAGCCTCAGGCGTACAGCAACTATCTGTACAAGTAAAATTGAAATCTGATGGATTCTAAATAAATGCCTCGACCAGCGATGGTTTGTACAATAGTTTTAAAATATCTGAAGAGAGAAAGCCATTTGGAAACATAACAAAGTTAAAGCACCAACCATTCAAACTATTGCTTTGTATTTTAACATAAGGAACGACATGTAAAAATAAACTACTACTTATGTAAGATCAGGTCTTACTGAGACATTTGTGTACAGTTAGAACTGAGCATACGCTTGCAATAAAAGTATGATGTTCGTACTAACTTTTAAAAATGTTTTGACATTTTTAGTCTCATCTAACTTAGTTTTTTAGTCTTATGTTACTTTAAAGTATATGGAAAAAAATGTTCCACAACTCAGTGGCTGAGTGTTGCAAGTGTCACTGCTGCAGTGAGAGCATTGCACTGGTGTTGTGGTTTCTCTCAGCAGAGCTGAAACACGTCCAAGCATCCGGGCGGTCCAAAGATGCTTTGTCAGATCAAACTCAATCAGTGAATTCCTTTACAGGACCCACCGCATTTCCAAACAGACCCGGGGCCAGTGCGCTCTCTCTGCTGCCTACACTGCACCACACAGGGACACGGAAACAAAACACATATCTGGTTCACTCGGTTCTGGCTTTAGTTAAAGAAATCATAAATGAAAAGTCAACTTTGGAGTGAAAATAGTGTCGAAATGACACTAGACTTTAAAGATCTAATGGTTTTGTTTAAAGATCGTGCGGTTTGAAACTTTACTTATGATTTGTAAGATCCTGAAGACAGGGTTTGTTTGAGCGTAGACTGAATTTACTTCTGTTATACTTTTTGGTCTTTCCTCCCTGCAAGCTCCGGTGGTCTCGGGAGGAACAGCCCAGACCCCGCTGTAACCCAGCAGCCTCTGTTTGCCTATGTTCCCCACATGCGCTCTCAAATTTACGCGATTGCAAAGTAACAAAAACCAGCATCAGCCGAAGCAGACGTTTCATTCACATTTCTGTCTACTCAATGGAAGATCTGCGAGCGTTTTCAACCATCACCTCTGAGATCTGTTTAAGTGCGAACGCGGCGTTGCAGTAGCTGGGTCTGCGGAGCAGATCTGAGTCCGCAGACGGCTGGGAGCGCGCATAACTCGGGGGTAAATCTCCATAGACGCCGGCCCCTGGGACCCCGTGATCCGAGGCCATGGTCCAAAGAGGGTGAGCTGTGCGCGGAGAAAAGCGGCTGAGAATCGGTGAGAGTTTAGTAACAAAGGCGATAATAATCCAACATAGAAGAGGAGCGCATCCAGGAGCGCCGGCGACAAGTCCGGAGAAGGGTTTCTAGTCTTCCCTGGAGCCAAACGAGTCTCGAAACTCCATCCCAACATTATGCGCCGAAATCCGTAAAAATCCTTCAGTCTTCATTCGTCCCGACAGTTCATGAAACGACGTCTCAGCGAGGAGTAGTGGTGGTAGTTGTACTTGTAGTAGTAGTAGTTGTAGTAGTAGTAGTAGTAGTAGTAGCCTACGTCTGAGGCGTCCGTGTCAAGTCTAACTCTGATCCTGCAGCGGTAACATTTGGAGAAGTTCGCCTCTCTGCAAATCCTGAAAAGGGAGGTTTGATGGAAAAGTGCTGCGGCTCCCATTGGCCAAGGAAGAGGCAAATTACTTTGCAAACATCGCCTATTATTAGCTGCTAAGCAACAGCTCACCAAAGTGGAGAGAGAGGGGGACCACCCAGGCTGCTGCTGCCTGGGCTGCAGGGAGGGAGAGCAGGAGGGGGAGGAGGACGGGGAGGAGGGGGAGGAAAGAGAGGGGAGGAGGAACGGAGGGAGAGAGAGGAACTCTTTCAATAAACTCTGCACGACGCGCGCACGGGCGCACGCACGCACGCATGCACAGAGCCTGTAGTCTGCAGCCTGTAGCCTGCCCTGTGCGCCTCACTTGCTCTCACTGTGAACATTATTCCCAGCGGCCGGGAAATCGCACATGCCATCGATTGATATCACAGCGACAGGCACGCACACCGCTTTACAGCTCCACCGTCTCATCAACAGACTGTAATCACTGAAAGAAAAAGAAAAAGAAAAAAAACACAGCTTTTTATTCAAGAATGTAAACACATCTGAGTTTTTTTCTTTAGGAGAGGATCACACATCTCTCATGTTTGAGATTTCTGACTCTGACGAGGTTCTGGAAACCTTTTTGAAAATAAAGTCACAGTGAAGTTAATAAGAGGTGTCATTTTTATTGCCGCATAGTGGAAGAGTGGTTAGCACTCTTGCCTTACAGGAAGAAGGTCACATGTTTGATCCCACTTTCTTTCTGTGTGTGTCTTGTCCAGGTACTCAGGTCCAAGGTTAACTACCGTTCTAAACTGACCACACCTACGTTTGTCACAGATCCTGATGATCATTAAATTAGAGATTAGAGATTAGAGATTAGAGAGTGTGGGGAAAAAAATCTAGTTCAATATCAACAAATTTATCCTAATGTTTTCAATTTTGTGCAAATTCCGTGCCCCCCAACCACTGGGCCCTAGATCGGTACCTGGCTGTGGGTCATTCAAAGAAAAACAAAAATGCATTTAATTGATTTTCAGTGTTTTAGTTTGAAAAACGACCAGATTCTTCCGTGATAAAATGCATTAATTAACATGATTCCATGCACATTGTTCCCACATGTCAGCTTCATTTAATATTTAGTTAAATTAACCAATTTAAAGTATGTTATGTTAGAAAAATACATTTAAAGAATACTGCACGACCATTATCTAATAAATCTTAATTAAAAAAACAGGAAGTAGAATTTAGTGTCTCTATAAAACACAGGAAGTAGAAATCTCTGACCCGTATAAATTTGTCTACATGACAATATAAACATATTTATGACAATTTATTTTATATCGGAATGATTGTGTGGCTTTTTGTTCACACGAATGGAAGTTAATGTCGAATCCCAGCGAGAATAGCAATGCTAACTATGCGAGTGTGTGTGTGTGTGTGTGTGTGTGTCCATATAGGCTTTTTAGCACCGACAGCTGTAACCTCACCTCCAGTGGCCAAAAGCTTCTAAAAGTAGGTTAACAAGTTTCTGTCCACCTTGGAAAATTCTTCAACCTCCTGATCCTGTAAAATCACCGTTCATAGATCACGGGGAGCTTTTTCACATGAGCACATTTTTTATTGTCACCTCAGAGCCGTCGGCTCGGGTGCGACACTCCTATCTCTGAGGAGAAGTTTTGGAAAACGTCCACAACTTGACATGCATGATTTCATGAGTTCAGAGACTGGTTTAAGCAGAGAATGATGTCTGGACGGAAGGAACGAAGGAAGGAAAAAAAAGGAAGAAAGTTCTCACCCTCACATTGTTTTCTAATCACCAAAGAAAGACTTGTCCTTTGGTGTCTTGTGCCTTGGTGGTTTGCTAATGTAAGCCCTCATTGGCCCCACTCATGACAGAATGGGGGTGAAGAACAAACACTTTACCAGATTACAGCGTCATTCCCTGCCTGAACACAGACCCGTGGAACATTTGTCCAGCGGATGCTGCTATAATCTGAGGGTCTTTGAGGAACTGTAAACCAATCTGAGGCTGCGGAGGGGGGAGGGGTCACTGATTGTAGGTGTAGGTGCTTTAGGGCTTTTTTTTTGTTACGCCCGACGTCTGTGTTGACATGATGAAGCATGACGAAAGGGAATCAGGATGTGAGGTCATCGTCATAATTTGTCATTAAAAATGTGGCGTAACATTACTGAGTAACTGTGCAAGACTCTGTTATTTCTAATGAAGGCAGGTTTGGGCCGAGGGTTGACGTGTACATTTTACTTGAGTGTAACCAATACTTTATACGAGAGCTGAGCTAAGCAGCAAAATATTATTATTTTATATTTTGGGAATAGTGGTATCTGGACAAGTGTCGTCTCGCTCTGACAAATTATTTGATTGATGGCGTTAAAAGCACTGTTTTCTACAAAGAAACAAACTGCAGTTTAGATGACGCGGTCAGAGAAGTACTTGGGACCAAAACACTGCTGAGGAACTGGATTAAACCGGAATTAATTTTAATACAAGGGTGAACTGGGATGTACATAAATGTACACAAATAGAGGTCGTTATATATAAGTTACAAATATTTTCTCGTGTGTTGTTATACAGTAAATACACTATATATATATATATATATATATATTCTCTCCTAAAATGTAAAGTATTGATTTAGACAACATTACCAGGGTCATCAGACACTAAAGTCACTTCACATGTACTACATACGCACTGCGAACACCAACTGATACACCTATATACGCAGTACAGCGCATACTGAACCCACTCCACCATCTGTCCTGATGACGCCGGTGTTTCCAGGGTGGTACTGTCTGTCTGCTCCGTGCTTCCACTCTCCTGGAACCGACTCCGGTTTTGCCTGCCTGGTCTGGGTTGGGTCGGGTCGAGTGGTAGAGGGAAACAGGCAGCTGGAAATGGGAGCTAATGTGGAATGTGAGGAATTGGGTTGTGTGGTAGGGGGCCCCCTCAAGCCTAACAAACTCAGGGAGGTCCGAGGCCTGGTCTGGAGGCCTTGGATAAATAAACTGTCTGAGATGACCATGCGCTGTGCAGATATCTGCCATCACACCGCCCTGGTTTTCAAACACAGCTCGCCCAAACCCTCCTCCTCCTCTTTCTCTGCACGTCCCGGGTCCCTGATGGTCCCTGTCCTTCTACTGATCCTGCCTCTCATTTTCTCTATCTTTCATCCTCTACACATTCACCACTAATCCCTCAATCTGAGGTTCTCACTTTTCTTAACACCTTCACCTTTCCCCTGATTTCATCTGCTGCTCCTCTCCTGCTCTTCCTCTTAACCTTTTTCTTTTCCTCCCCCTATCTCCATTCCTCCATTTCATCTCTCCCTGGTGGCTCTATCCATCCAACCGTTCAACCGTGCATGCATGGCCGACTGTCCGTCCAGGGTTCCGTATGTGCTATAGGCAGGACTA